CTTCATTTATAATAGCCTCAAATGGGTCACCATCCAAGTGGCCATCAGTGGTGGCCAGGAATCCTCTGCCATGTTGTTCCTGAGGCAATTGGTGGCATTTTGTTACTCAGAGATTTTAATCACTCCATTATATACACTTTCAGTTCCTTTGCCTCTTTCTCCTTACATGGTCCTTGTCTGTCACACCCCCACCTTCACAGAGTTTTGCCTGCTCCTTGCCAACATCTGAGCAGCTGAGAGTGACTAAGGAAAATGATGCACCCTTGTAACTGGTGTCCCTGTGGTTTTTCAATCAGAAGCAGCTCAGTTCCCAGGGGTATTTGGATGATGGCAAGGGTAGAGGGGCACCACCATGAGCCAGGGACGCTAAATGCCAGGCAACAGGCCTGCCCCAACCGACAGTAGTATCCCTGCTGAAATACACTAGGCCACGAACCTCTGGTGGTCACGGCTGTATGTAATCATACCCTTAACCATTCCCTTTCCCACTCTCCTAAACAATTTTTCTCTCTGCTTCTTTTTTTAAATATATATCTTAGTTGCAGGTGGGCACAATAACTTTATTTTATTCATTTTTATGTGGTGCTGAGGGTCGAACCCAGTTCCTCACACGTGCTAGGCAAGTGCTCTGCCACTGAGCCACAACCCCAGCCCTTCTTCCTCTTTTTAAATCTCTAAGGTGTTTTCCTCCTGCTCCTTTTCAGTTGAAAACCGTATTTCTTATTTAAAAGAAAAAGAGAAGTTCAGAAGAAAACTAACTTCCAGGTGCTCTTGGTATCTACCCACCTCCCTCCCTCTCCACCCACATCCTTAGTCTCCCACTGTCACTCTGGGTAAACTGCTCAGAGAATTTTCCAAGTCTTCTGTTTGTCTCTGGATCTTCCTCCTCTCGCCCACTCAACAGTCTCCATCCTGTGATTCTGCATCCTCGGTTTTCTCCCTCTGCTCTATTACTCCTGTCAGCATATATGCAATTCACACTATTTCATAACCTAAAAATATTCTCCCTTGGCATCATATTTACCTCCACATTTTAGAAAGTGGTAATTTGCAGGGAATCAGGTGACCTGACTCTGGCCCCCCTCTCACCCAATGACCTTGGGTGGCTGGCCTCTGCTCCTCTTAGTTTTCTGACATATACAATGAAAAGGTGACACTTGTTAATCTCTAAGGTCCCTTTCATGGTTAACACTTGCTACCTGTGACATGCTGCGTCATAATATCCGTATCTGGCAAGGCACAGAGCCAAAGGTAGGCTGCATAGGAAAGAACGACAAGCTAAGCAAGAAATGAATAAGACACACAGTTTCCCACCCGTGGGATGGTAGGGAGTCCAAGACAGAAACACAAATGACTCTTCTTTAAGGGAGATTAAGGATGAAGGTCTAAAATAAGGATCCGGTTCAGACAAGGGGAGATCAATGCGATTAGGAGAATTGGGGATGTTCTCCTGGAGGCTAATATTTAATGATAGATCTCAAAAGATACTCCAAGGAACAGTGCAATTTAAAAGGGATAGAGAGACTGTGGGAAAGGTTCACCCCAATTTAGAGGTAAAGGAAAAGAAAGTATGAGAAGGAGATGAGGCTGCAAAAGGTGATGGGAGTTGAAATGTGGAAATCAGTACTGGGCAAACTCAGGCTGATAGAAATCAATAGGTGTTGTCATGCAAGCTTGAGCCCTGCAGGGTATTTTTTGTTTTTGTTTTTGTTTTTGTTTTTACCTTCCACACAAAATTGTGTAATCAAGGGTTCATGTCTCTCAAGGAGTGAGTGGGGATGAAGCAAACAGAAAGACATCTTTCTGTTTTATTTGGTCAAACTGCATCTGGAAATTATCAGAGGAGAATAAATAAATAAACCCCAAGTGTTATTGTAAAATATATTGTTTTTCTGACTGTGACTTTCACATTGAATTCTGAATCCTCGTTTCTCCTTATCAAGAACATTCCTTTCCAAGTTACCACAAGAGAATGGCTGCTTCATCCAGGGCCATGCAGTTGTTTGGACGATGGCCACAAGGAGTTTTGTCATTAAAAAGGGCAGACATGACACGATAGAACAAAATACTCAGTTCTATGATCCAATATACATTCCCATATAATTGCTAGCACATTCCTGGTTGCTTGGTATAAGGCTTAACATTAAAGACTTCAAAGCCTAGCAACCAATGGGTCTTTGTAGCAGGGAGCCCGTGGTGAATTCTACAAAGCCCTTTGGGAGCCTGAAGGCCGGAATTCCCAATGCTTTCCCTGCAAAATTCATAGGGTCTCCATAGGGAAGTAAACAGCCATCCCTATGACAAATAAGAACTGGAGACCTCAAAGCTGATTTAAATTTTGACCCTGCCACTTTTGTGACTCTCAGTCTTAATTCCCTTTGTACCTCTACATCCTCCTCTATAAAGTGGGATGGGAAAAATTCTAGTCTCATAGGATTGTTGCGAGACTCAAATGTGTTTATATATTTTAAGCGATGTTTGGAACATGCTGGGAGATGGTAAGTACTGGCTCGTATTATTCTCACCGCACTCAGCCTCTCCCTGAGGGTCTCACTGCTTACTAATGATTGGATACACGAAAGGCAGGGAAAACACACAGGACCGCCCTGCAGAATTTAGGATGCTCAGAAATAACGTCTCACAGACTCACTGTTGTTTATCCTGTGAGCAGAGACCCCCTGGAAAGGAAAAGAGAAATTTTGTCTGGATTTCTTGCTTGAAGTAGTGTTACTCATTCTCTGATAGCATGTTCTTCCGGGTGACTCCCCCACCACCAACACCACTATGTCACTCATTCTCTCTGCCTTCTTCAATTTCTTTTTCTTTCCCCCTTCTTTTTACTTTGGTTGGCTTATTGACCTCAGGTTTTTTATTTTCTCTTTCCTTAATAGCCCATTTTCAAATGTGCTTATGCCTATAAGGTCAACAGGTCAAACGTGCCAAATGTCAAACCCTGAGAAATTGGTTTAGAACGTCTCTCTTTCTTATTACAGGTTGAGGAAAAAAAAAAGTGCAGAGACTCTTGGTTTACTCAGTCAGAGAAAATGCTTTCCGGAACCATGCAGTTCCCTGAACTCGGAAGATTTTTGTCAGCTATATTTTCCCATGAAAAATATGGGGAATATTCATTTCTGGTTCCTGTGTGCCTTCCTCACATCTGAAGGTAAGGTAGTTAAAAATTCAACTCAGAAGTACTCATGGGAATGCTCTTCGACATGTTAAAAATAAACTCAAGTTCAGCATACCTCCAAATCTGAGTTCCTTCAGGAAAATTATCGCAAAGCCCCACCTCACTAGAACCAGGCCCAAACAAGGACATCCTATGTAGAATGATTACTGGCAATGTACCTGGCATAGCCTCAAATTCAAAGAAAGTTCTAGTCTTCTCAAATATCTTTGCAACTCTTATGCCACATGCGCATAATTTTTACTTGGAAATTGTTATAAGACAAGAAAGTGGATTCCTGTCCATAGATCACCCAGAATATTATGATTGGAACAAAGGTCAGGACTAGCAATTCTCTGCTGGAATGTGTTTGCTTTCAACACTTCACTGTCAAATCAGGTTCTTTAAATAAGAAAGCAACAATCTGGTGCAGAGACAGTCAGATCTCCTGGCCTTCATCACTGAACACATTGTCCTAGACTGCTCCGTCTCATTCCCTCCATCCCATATCTGCTTGAGGAATCTTGACTTTATTGTCACTTCTTTTCTCCATCTCCCACTACTAAGGTTGGTTGCCAATCCTTGCTAACACTGCAACAGGATGTAATCATTGACTAAGACGCTCAGGACTTTGTGAACTGCTTCTGCAGCACTGTGTTCTTTTAAGGAATTTGCCTTGGCAACGTCCTTGCATTTATTATATTAGATTTGGGCGGACAGAGGCCATTCCTAAATGATATAATTCTGGTTAATCCTTAAAATGTCTAGGGTGAAGGGATTGGTCTTCATTTACCACAGATGGGATGATACTTTACTAGTTGGAAATAGTGCTTTGTAGTTTACACTTACCTTTGGCTACATTTTGAGGGGGGATGAATTGTAATTACAGGGAAAGAGTAGGACCTGGAGATAAAGACCTGGAGATAAAGGGCACATAAGCAAGAACACTGAGCAGATGGCATCTTCTGATGCCACGTTCTCTCTCCATCCTTAGAGGTTGGTAAAACTCCTCTTACTACTGCAGCAATGAAAAGAAGAGACTCTACCAAGGTGATTACTATAAACAAACAAGAAGAAGCAGCAGAAGAAAAAGAATATTTAACCCTTAAAACAGAGCACAATGTTATGGCATTTTAAAAATAAGCTGGGACAAGAATGCTCTCACTTAACCAAATAATGCATTTTAGGGAAAATGTCCACACTTGTCTCTTTTTTTAAAAAAAACCCCATCTAATGTCCAAAGTTATATTAATGCCTCTTCTTGATATTTAGACAAAGGGAAGACATTGAATTTTTTTGTCTTTTTTTAAAAATATTTTTTTTAGTTTTTGATGGACCTTTATTTTAGTTATTTGTATGTGGTGCTGAGAATCAAACCCAGTGCCTCACGCACACTAGGCAATCACACTACCACTGAGCCACAACCCCAGACCCCTTTCCTTCTTTCTTCCTACTTTCCCAACAACACCCACCCCATGTTGTAAAACATAGCTTTGTAATGTACGGCTTAGATATTTTTCATGATAAATTCATAATTTATATTATAAAGCAGAGAAAAAACAAAATTATGTGGGATACAGTTAAATATCATCCACCCGTTCACAGGCAATAAGTAAGCCAATTTACAAAGTGTAGTGTAAACAAGGAGTATATATTTATAATGTCTTTATCGGAAGTAACTATAAAGGGCAGGGCTTCCAATCAGCTAGTGAAAAAAATATGTATTAAGTGCCAACATTGTGCTCAGTGCCGTAGATACAGTGTGTTCAAAATAGATATTGCATAGTTCGCCTAATTGGATGTGGGTGGGAAGATGTCTTTCATCAAAACCTACCTGGAAGGTTAGTAGAACTCCCCTGTTACTGCAACAGTGGGAAGAAGATATTTTTGGTATAACCCACAGGCCTATTTCCAGGCTGGGAGAAGACTGGCCAATCTGATGACTCCAGGGATCGCCCAAGTGGCAAATAGGTAGAGAAATGCCTGCAGCAATAGAAATAATGTTGCTAAAGATTCTGTACTTTGAAGGCTAAACTTTTAGTAACCTCTCACAGGGACAAATACCAGTCTCCAGCAAACCTGAGGGTTCCCACATCAATCTGGATCACACAAGCAGATGGGTGGTGTAGACCAGCAAGATGAAAGAGAGGATCTAAGTAAAAACTGGGCTCACATAAATCATGTGTTAGGCTCCTGAAGGTGACAATCTGCTGGAAAGGGGCTGAGGGAGGCGGAACTGGATGATCATAAATACAGAGGAGGAGTTGGCGTCTCCTCTTCTGAAAATGAGCATATGGTCTCAAAACAAGTTCAGAAGGACAACATTTGTATTAAGATGACAGAGTACAACACGGGAAGTTCTGGATAAGGATGCCTTTCAGATCATATGGAAAGGCAGAAAAACGCACAAGAGAGTGTAGAATCGTGGCCTTGCATGTTTTGTTGATGCATTGACGGTCAACTTAACAGCTCTATAATTAATGACCAAACAAAACTTGTCTGACAAAGCTTAGTTATTCTTAGCTATTCTGGGTGACTCTGTCTCTACCACCACAGGAGGATGCCCTGTACTCATCAAGATTGCCTCATTCCCTGAAACACCTCCAGGCTTTGTTGGCTTAAAGTATAATATGACTAGTGTTCATTTCCAGGTCTAGTATTTCGTTACCAATTTGGGACCTGGAAGCCAATTTTGGCTTACAACACCTTGCCTGAAAAACTAAAGTATTAAGAGTTAATGCCATGAGTTAAAGCTGCTAACCAAAGAAAAAAAGCTTATTTGTCTTCTATAAAAAAAAATCATAACTTAATTCCTAGGTCTTCCCTGTTTTCCTGACTGAGTGGTTCTCCTGATTCACATCTCATGTTTTTGGTACCATGGGCATAGATGCACTTCATTTTTTCCTTCAATAATTATTTGAGAGTCTACTGTCTGCTAAACACAGTTCAAGGAGACATTAGGGATGATGCACTGAACAAAACAAAGAAGTCTATGCCCCTTGCCACTCAGTATGTGTGGTGATAAATGTGAAATATAAGTTGGTATGGCGCTGGCACTGACCGATCAGAAATGATACCGGTGGTTGTCTTGGAGTAGGATCCTCGAAGGACATGAGGTGCTAACTCTTTCAGTGCTGGAAGATAGAGAGATCCATGGAATCTGGAGGAAGAGTGGGGTCGTGAAGGCACTGGAGGGCTTAGGACAGAGAGCCACTCTTTATCAACTGACATAGTAGTATTTTGATGATTTTAAAAAATGATGTGGGGCTGGGGTTGTGGCTCGGCGGTAGAGTGCTGGCCTAGCAGGTGCGGGGCCCTGGGTTTGATCCTCAGCAACACATAAAAATAAATAAATAAAAAGAAAGGTATTGTGTCTGACTACAACTAAAAAATAAATACTTAAAAAAATTGATGTGGCTGAATATGAGCTGGTAATAAATGTCATGGAGAAAAATTAAATGGCATAACATAACCAAACTATGAATACAGTGACTTGTCCTAGGAACAATGAAAGAAAATACTCAGTTCTGAAATAGAGCTTAAAGAGATACAGTGAAAGAGGGGAAAGCCGTGGATGATATACGAAGTGCCTTCATGTTTTCAAGCAACAGATTTTGTTTTGACACCATCTGTGATCCCACTGTTGACTTGGAATGAGTCATGATCTCAAAGTCCTGATGTAAATGACAAAAGCATAAAATAACAGATGCTTAATAGGAGAAAATAAAATTCAGTAACATTGGAACTTAAGAATGTCGGGTTAGTAATAATCCTTCCCATTGACTTACCATGAGGTCATGGGTAGAAAATAAATCTTTAAGTGATTGACAAGAGGCAGAAGCAGCAGTAGGTCTCTTCAGCATAGCACACTAGATTCACCCTTGGTTGTTCTCCAGGCAATGAAGATTGGGTACTTCCCTAACAGCTCTATTTTTGTAGACAAAAAATTGCATGCTAATCTGAATGGGCTGTGGACCTCACTTTTCATTCTGAAGCATCTTGGATTCAATGAAAGTCATTTTTCAGTAATAATTCTTGAGGAAATGACTTTTAAGGGAATCGAGAGTTTTAAAAAGTATGCTTAGCAGCTGTAAAGCAGACTATAGAGGGAAAAATTAGGCCTTAATCTCTAGGATATATAAGGAACTCAAAAAACTTAAACCAAAAAAACCCTCAAATAATCCAATTAATAAATGGGTTAAGAAACTGAAAAGACACTTCACAGAAGAAACACTATCAATCAACAAATATATAAAAAAATGTTCAACATCTCTAGCAATTAGAGAAATGCAAATCTACTCTAAGATTTCATCTCACTCCTGTCAGAATGGCAATTGTCAAAAATGCAGGCAACTATAAATGTTGGTGAGGATGTGGGGGGAAAGGTACACATTGCTGGTGGGACTGCAAATTGGTGCAACCACTATGGAAAGCAGTATGGAGATTCCTCAGAAAAGTTGGAATGGAACCACCAATTGAACCAGCTATCCCATTCCTTGGTTTATTCCCAAAGGATATAAAATGTGCATAACTACAGTGACACAGCCACATCAATGTTTATAGCAGCTCAATTCACAATAGCTAGACTATGGAACCAACCTAGGTGCCCTTTAACAGATGAATGGATAAAGAATATGTGGTAGGGCTGAGGATGTGTCTCAAGCGGTAGTGCGCTCGCCTGGCATTCAAGTGGCCTGGTTTCCATCCTAAGCACCACATACAAACAAAGATGTGTCCGCTGAAAACTAAAATATATATATATAATATATATATATTATACATATGTATAATATATATATTATATATATTAAAATTCTCTCTCTCTCTCTTTCTTAAAAAAAAGAATATGTGGTATATATACACAATGAAATATTACTTAGTTAAACAAGAATAAATTGTGGCATTTGAAGGTAAATGAATAGATTTGGAGAATACCAACTCCATTCATTTACTTGCAAATGATGGAGAAAAGCTATTTACCTAATGGTGGCCATGAAGCAGAGAGAGAGGAAGAGTAGGGGAGTGGGGGGGGGTGCGGACAAGACATAATCCCCAAGGGCACACCTCCAGTGACACATCTCCTCTAGCCAGACCACACTTGCCTACAGTTACCATGCAGTACGGTAATCCTTTCGAATCATTATCCCAGCAAATGGATTAATTCTAAGCTTTAAGTTGATTTCTCTAGGCATTGAGAAGTCTGAATGCATGGGAGTATCCATACACATTTTTTATAGGATTATATATACACATTTTGACTTGGGTACAGAAAAGATTTCCCTCTCCATTTGTAAAGTTGCCATTGATTTTAACATGGCATAATTCAACAATTCTACTCCATTGAGTGCCCAGTGGCTGTGTGGACTCAAATGTGAATGGTGCCTGCCTTGCTCCTTTCCTTGAGAGAAAGCCATTAGGATGCCTTCCCCTTTCTTTCCCAGGTTTAAAGAATCTGATGAGCCTAAAGTCAACCAACCCAAATACCTGTGAGCATACCTTAATTAAACTGGAACTTTAAAAAACTGCAATTTACTTTAAGAGAAAGAGGTGTAAGCCTAGTAAGCTGATGGTGGGAAGATTCTTCCGAGTCCCAGGTTGTCTTTGTAAAGCAGTAAAGATTCAGCCCTCTCTCTGAGAACTTCCTACACTGACCACATAGAAGGAAGAGAAACAGTGTGAAATGATGAGCCTGAAGCGCTGAAAGAGCATTACATAAAACAAACTTTAATCTTATTTTTAAGTGACTTTCACAGTTTACCTTTTTTTAAAAAAAATTTGTTCTAATTAGTTATACATGACAGCAGAATGCATTTTGACACATCATCCATAATTGGAGTATAACTTCTCCTTCTTCTGGTTGTACATGATGTAGAATCACAATGGTCATGTAATCATATATGTACGTAGGGTAATAATGACCAATTCATTCTATTATCCTTCCTACCCATACCTTTACCATCTCTTCACTCCCCTCTGCCTAATCCAAAGTGCTTGTATTTTTTCCCCTGGCCATCCCTCCTTATTATGAATTAGCATCCTCATCTGAGAGAAAACATTTAGCCTTTTTGGGATTGGCTTATTTCACTCAGCATAGTATTCTCCAACTCCATTTACCTGCAAATGCCACATTTCATTCTTGTTTAAAGCTGAGTAATATTCCATTGTGTATGTATACCACATTTCTTTATCCATTCATCTGCTAAAGGGCACCTAGTTGGTTTCATAGTCTAGCTATTGTGAATTGAGCTGCTATAAACATTGATGTGGCTGTGTCACTGTAGTTATGCACATTTTAAATCCTTTGGGAATAAACCAAGGCATGGGATAGCTGGTTCAATTGGTGGTTCCATTCCAACTTTTCTGAGGAATCTCCATACTGCTTTCCATAGTGGTTGCACCAATTTGCAGTCCCACCAGCAATGTGTACCTTTCCCCCCACATCCTCACCAACATTTATAGTTGCCTGCATTTTTGACAATTGCCATTCTGACAGGAGTGAGATGAAATCTTAGAGTAGTTTTGCATTTCTCTATTGCTAGAGATGTTGAAGATTTTTTTATATATTTGTTGATTGATAGTGTTTTTTCTTCTGTAAAGAGTCTATTTAGTTCCTTAGCTCATTTATTGATTGGGTTATTTGTTATTTTGGTGTTACACTTTTTAGTTATTTATATATCCTGGGGATTAATACTCTATCTGGGGGTGCGTGTGGTAAAGATTTTCTCCTGTTCTGTAGGCTCTCTCTTCATGTTATTGATTGTTTCCTTTCCTAAGAAGAAGCTTTTTAGTTTAAATCCATCTCATTTATTGATTCTTGATTTTACTTTTTGCACTTTAGGAGTCTTGTTAAGGAAGTCAGTTCCTAAGCCAACATGGTGAAGATTTGGGTCTACTTTTTCTTGTATTAGGTTCAGGGTCTCTGTTCTAGTGCCTAATCTTTGATCTACTTTGAGTTGAGTTTTATGCAGGGTGAGAGACAGGGGTTTAATTTCATTTTGTTACATACGGATTTCCAGTTTTCCCAGGACTGTTTGTTGAAGAGGCTATCTTTTCCCCAATAAATGTTTTTTGTGACTTTGTCTAGTATGACATAACTATATTTATGTGGGTGTGTCTCTATATCTTCTATTCTGTACCATGTTCATGTCTGTTTTTGTGCCAATACCATGCCATTTTTGTTACTATGGTTCTGTAGTATAGTTTAAGTTCCTGTATTGTGATGCCTCCTACTTCACTTTTCTTTCTAAGGATTGATTTGTCTATTCTGGGTCTCTTATTTTTCCAAATGAATTTCATAATTGCTTTTTTTATTTCTATGAAGAATGTCATTTGGAATTTTTATAAGAATTGCATTAAATCTGTATAATGCTTTTGGTACTATGGCCATTTTGACAATGTTAATTCTGCCTATCCAAGAGCATGAGAGATTTATCCATCTTCAAAGGTCTTTTTCAATTTCTTTCTTTAGTGTCTGTAGTTTTCATTGTAGAGGTCTTTCACCCCTTTTGTTAGATTGATTCCCAAGTAGTATTTTTTTTTGGAGGCTATTGTAAATGGTATAGTTTCCTAATTTCTCTTTCATGGATTCATCACTGATGTATAGGAACACATTTGATTTATGGGTGTTGATTTTGTATTCTGCTACTTTGCTAAATTGTTAGTTTTAGAAGTTTTCTGGTAGAAATTTTTGGATCTTCTAAATATAGAATCATGTTGTGGGCAAATAGTGATAGTTTGAGTTCTTCTTTTCCTATTTGTATCCCTTTAATTTCTTTTGTCTGTCTAATTTCTCTGGCTAGAGTTTCTAAGACCATGTTGAATAAGTGGTGATAGAGGGCATCCTTGTCTTGTTCCAGTTTTTAGAGGGAATGCTTTCAATTTTTCTCCACTTAGAATGATACTGGCCTTGGGGTTAGCATGCATAGCTTTTATAATGTTGAGGTATGTTCCTATTCACCCTAGTTATTCTGGTGTTTTGAACGTGCAGGGGTGCTACATATTGTCAAATGCTTTTTCAGCGTCTATTGAGATGATCAATTATTTTCTTTAAGTCTACTGATGTGATGAATTACATTTACTTAGTTCTGTATGTTGAACCAATATCGCATCCTATCATTTTAATATGTTTTTGTATGGGATGTGCCAAAATTTTATTTAGAATTTCTGCATCTATGTTTATCAGAGATATTGGTCTGAAGTTTTCTTTTCTTGATGTGTCTTTGTCTGGTTTTGATATCAGGGTGATACTAGCCTCATAAAATCAGTTTGGAAAGGTTCCTTTCTTTTCTATTTCATGAAATAATTTGAGGAACACTGGTGTTATTTCTTTGAAGGTCCTTATAGAACTTGGCTGAGAATCCATCTGGTTCTGGGCTTTTCTAGGTTGGTAGGGTTTTGATGGCATCTTCTTTTTCACTGCTTAAAATTGATCTGTTTAAATTGTGTACATCCTGGGGCTGGGGATGTGGCTCAAGCGGTAGCGCACTTGCCTGGCATGTGTGCGGCCCGGGTTCGATCCTCAGCAGCACCACATACCAACAAAGATGTTGTGTCCACCGAGAACTAAGAAAAAATAAATAAATGTTAAAATTCTCTCTCTCTCTCTCTCTCTCTCTCTCTCT